AACACAACACACACAACACAACAACAACAACAACACACACAACACACAACAACACAACAACACAACACACAACACACAACAACACACAACACAACAACACAACACAACAACACACAACACACACAACACACAACAACACAACAACACACACAACACACAACACACAACAACAACAACACAACACACACAACAACACACACACAACACAACACACAACAACAACACACAACAACAACAACACAACACACAACACACAACACACAACAACAACACAACACACAACAACAAACAACACACAACAACAACACAACAACAACACACAACAGAAGAGAGCAGAGTGTGAGTGGTTCTGTCGTTCTTTCCTTCGTTTTCATAAATCTTTCTTCTCACCGACTCGACTTGTCCCTGGTTTTTCAGATGTTCTTTGTATTTCTGATCCACATAATCCTCCAGCCTGAAACACACAGGAAAACTCAACACAAACTCACAAACACCCTGATCCACCTCGTGATGTCATCGTGTGGTGATACAGGAAGTGCTCCACTGTGTTTTTAAACTCCACACTTCACCTTCACCTGAATCATCTGGAACATTTCAGTCGTGGAGTTTATTTATCAAACTCGACTGAAGTAAAGGGAAAAGGAGCTGTTCTACCACTTGATGACATCACAAGGTGAGTTTTTGAGGAGGTCATGACATTAGAACATGTTTTTGAGGAACAGTTGCTCTCACCTGGGCTCCAGCTCTTTGGCCACTCGTTTTGCTTTGTTCCACTCTTCTCCATCGATGAAAACATCGATGGCGTCTTTGAAGAGCTCCACGTCCAGGTACAGCTCCGCCGCCTTCACACGGGACAAAACACATTTACTTTATTTTCAGATTATAAAAGCACATCAGTCATGTTGGATTCTCTCGTCTGTTTTCACACATAAAACACTGGATTATAAGAAACATTAAGAGAAACAAACAGACGACACTTGAGTCGGATCTTCGCCCAGACTCCTCGATCCATCAGCAGATCGTGGAGTCAGTCGCCCGACGTCGCTCTGTCCCAGTGAATCTGTTTTAGAAATGTAAATGTGTGAGGATCATTTAAGTTTGTTTTTTATTTCTTACGAGGACGACTCAAATACTTCGTACTCATTTACTCAAACACTGAGTAATAAAGTGTTTAATTCAGCTTTGACACATTTGTTTATGTTTTACAGAAACTAAAGTTAAAATCACATGACTCATTTACATAAACTATAAACTCTGATAAAAAAACAGTTCTCTTCTTGTGTCTGACGCGGTTCAGCTTCTGTCCGACTAAAGAACACGACTCTGACGCTCCAGACGACGGCCGCCCTAACGCTCCGACAATCCATCGACCGGAGGAGCTTCAGTTACCAGAGTCACACTAAAACATTTGACAGGTTTTTGAGCGACAAACAGAATTAACACAGAAGGAGCACTGTCGATTTTTAAGAAAATTTAAAGGATTTTAAGTGAGTCGAAAAAGAGGAACTAACCCTGTGTCCTGTCAATCATCCTGTCATTATTGTTCTGTTTTCTATGTCCTCTTGTATAAAGCTGAGATTTTATATTTTATTACTTATTTTTCTATTTTATTTTGACTTGTACATTTACATTTATATAATTCTGTTTTATTTCACACGTGTCTTTTGCTCTTTTTTGCTCTTTATCACCATTTATATTTTGTGTCTTTGTTGTTTATATGTTTATATTTTATTGTGACGTGTGACTCTGAGTCCAGATCTTTTCCCTGTGGATCAATAAAGTTTGTTTGAGTTTAAATCTAAAAATAAATCCAGATTTTTCTCACCGCTTTAAACTGTCGAAGTTTGGAGAGACGAGGTCCCACGAGCTGCACCACCTCCACCGCCCGATCACGGTTCAGGAACTTGATGGCGAGTTCAGCGGCCTGAGGAGAGACGCAGAGGAGCTCAGGTTCTACAGGTCCTGCGTGACCAGCAGAGGGCGCTGCTCAAACACTGTGCCGTGTGTGTGTGTGTGTGTGTGTGTGTTCTTCACCTTCATCCAGCATCTCTCCATCAGCTTGGTGTTCTTGTCGTCTTTCACTTTGAGGAAACAGTCGACGGCTCTGGAATATTCTCCGCTGGTCTCCCACTCGCGCGCCTGCTCCAGGATCGCCTCCACGCCGCTGAAACGTCACAACGTCACAACATCTCACCTTCTGTCCAAACATCAGGGCTCTGCTTTAAAGACGCACTGTGGAACTTTTCACCTGCTCCTAAATCTAATATTTCCTTCATCAGAGACAGGTTTTTTTTTGCTCTAAAATCTTCTGGAAAATTTGGAATCTTCAAGGCAAAGAAACAACATCTGTAAGTCCACGTGCCAGAACCTGGAGCAGAAAAGTTCCACAGTGCTCCTTTAGATAAAACTCAGTGAAATGTTGGAGTTACTTGTGTTTCTTGGACGCCTCCTGCTCGAACTCCTCCTGAAGTTTGGACAGTTTGTTTGGGAGATAATCTTT